ATTACTTTTAAAATGCAATTCTTTTAAAGCACAAGAAAAGGAAATCATTTTCATACAACTCAAGTGAGAATATTACATTGGCTAAAAATATAAAATATTTCCTTTTTTTGAGAAAGGATCTTATGTAGCCCAGGCAAGCGAAGAACACACTATGAAGTACAGGCCAGCCCTGAACTCGTGATCCCTCTCCCTTCACCTCTCAAGTGCTGGCATTTCTGGCAGGTGCCACCACACACAGCTAAAAAGGTAAGGATGGTGACATTTTCCCCATTTATTCTAGCAGGTGTCATTTCTGTTTAAATTCCTCAGAAAATGTCTTTGAGCCTATTTAAAACTTCTCAAAACCAAAGTTTTTCTACTTAAAATTATTTGAACCACAAAAATGCAAAAAAAAAAAATTCTTTAAAAATGAATGCACAGGGGTCATAAAAATAATTCTCACAGGAACTCAGTCCCTTTAAACATGAAGAATAAAATAAAACTTTCCACATTTAAGCAAGGTAAATAGCCCCAAGTCCTGCAAAACCCATAATACTGAACCCAGACATGTCACAGTTCTATCTCCAACAGGTCATTGGGATTTTATGAGTGTTTGTCCTTCTGTGTTATTTCTCCGGTTCCTTCAATCACAGTTACCCAGACTGGAAGAAATTCCATCCTTCATCCTGGACGGCCCTCTTCATGACAGCTTCCATCAAAATCGATGCGCCTTGTCTTACTGATTCTACCTTACATCTACTATTCAACTCCTCTCCCAGAAGACAATGACCCTGATTGGCTTATAGACCCCACAGGCTACACAGGCACCCTCCCAGGGATCTACCACCCTCTGCCATACACACTCCTGGCTCAGATAGTCTCTTGAGGTACCACACCCCTGAATCAATCAGTAGTTTCTAGCTGTGGCCTAAAATAAGAGTCACTGAATATTTACACTGGCCTGTAGAAGACAGTTTGGACTCTGAAGGACACATAGACTTGGTCAAAAAATTTAATTCTGCTAGGTTAGTACAAAAGCAGTCACAAGACCTAAGCAAATGCAGATCCCGAGTTACAGAACAATGTTTGGGCACATAAGACCCGCTTATGGATACCTGTCCTATAGAATAAAATGTAAATTCAGGCGCACACAAATAATCTCCATGTACTATCCTATTCAGAAGCCAACCTCAGTTCTTTCATGTGGGATCAAGTGTGTTATCATAACGCGCATCTACTCAACATGTGTTTTCTAACTGGGTCCAAGCCATTTGCCTTCAAGGCCCATTTCCAATGTCAACTCCTCCAGACATCAACATGGCAGGAAAATATCATTTCTTTCCAGCTACCTTTCATTAGCCTTTCCTTCTCCTTACTCACCCAATATTCCTTCTATTTTATGCACCTAGTCAAAAAATGCCTCTCTTAAACCAGGCTACATCTTTTCCTTTATAAGATGGACTCATGATTTTACCATCTGTACAGGCCCTCAGCTGAGGATCTTGAAGAAATTCAGTAAATGTCTCTTGAACAAATGAGTGATTCAGCCAATAAATGAATTATATTGTATCTAAACAAGAGGTAAAGGCTACTGGGTAGCCAAGGAGAAAAGCCACATAAGTCTCCTGTAACTTTTTTATTCCTCCCTAATCCAATATTTTACTTATCATCACATGCATAGAATTAAACAGAAATTACAATCATCTGAACCATTAGCTATAAGTGACAGGCTGAAATAAAGTCACAGAATAAAACAGATGCAGGCCCACATCTGAAAACTTTGTGTCTCAAGTCTCCCCTCAGATACATTTTGGTATTTCCAGAGATAAACCCTAATGCAACACTATGGAACCTTTAGTACCTGCAACACACATAGACACACACACACACACACACACACACACACACACACACAGAGTCACAGCTGTCACCTATGACAAACACCTGCAATCACATGCTGACAAAGCCTTTGTAGACCCTCACTCTTCCATGGCCACAACTATACTGACTAAAGCCAGGGAAAATTGACAAGAATATATAGACAGCGTGAAAGAGGAAAACACACCCATTTCCTACTTAATTTTTAGCACATTTACACCAATGAGTGGACGACAGGGAGCTAAATTTAAAGGAACATCTAACAATTTCAGTCTTTCCTGGAAAATAGAAAGTTACACAGTACAGAAACAGGGGACCACAGTGTGTTTTGCTTCTTTCCTAATAAAATGGAATGCTGCCTATCACTAATGACAAACTCCTTCGTGTCTGCACACTCAAGCTGTCACTACTGCCAGGGAGGGGGCATCATCAAATAAACCTGCTTTTCTAGGTAAAACTACAGGTATTGCTTTTAAAGCTTTGCTCTCGGGAGTATCTAGCTGGCCAACCGACACATGGCTAACCCTGACAGCACCTAGGAACACCGGACCTTCCTTAAATACGCTTGTATTTTCTATGAAGCTGAGTCTTGAACACAATCCAACTGAACAATACTGACTTGCCCCAGGCTATGGGCGTCTTGTAATGCCCCTCTCCCGTCTGTCAGAAACAGCTGGGCTTCTCACACTGCAAACTCTCCAAGACGAAATCTTACGGATAGGGAAAGAAGGAGGTTGCGAAGGGAGGCGCAGAGAAAACCAAGTTCCCCAAACTCAGAGGCTCAGGAACCTTAAAATCAACACTAGCTTCTATGAGGTTGCCTGTTCACAGATTACCTGCCTATAAGCAAAATCTCAATTTGCTTGTGTCAGGTTCAAGTTCAGTGAGGTCAGTACAAGAAATCTGTGCTCAACATTTAATCTAGATACCATATATATATATATATATATATATATATATATGATATATATATAACAACGTAGAAAAATTCACAGTGCACAAGCTACACCACATCTGCCATATCACAATGCATCTTGCAAAAGGTACATATAAGAAAGTTTTTATTTGGAAGACATCAAGTGTTAAGCATGAAAGTTTTAAGTGTCGATGGCACTTAGCTATCATTATTTCGACTTTTATGTCAAAGCTTAGGCCATCCTCAACTATAGCTTTGCTGAAGAACCAACACCTTTATTTTCATCTGCAATTAATGTGTCTTTGCATTTGGAAATTGAAAAGAAAAAAAAAATTTAAGATGGCTTTCTCACACCAATGAGGAGAATTCAACAGGATTTAAAATGAATGATCAGAATCAACACCATAAAAATGAAAAAAGAAGATACGAAGAACGGAATATGGCACAACTTGGTGTTTCTAAAAATACCTAAGAAGTTAAGGAAAGATCTGAGATATTTCAAACTAATTAGGAGAATAAGGCAATATACAAAATGGTATTTGTGAACTACGGGGATGGCTCAATGGTAGAATGCACGCTTTGGGTCTGTAGCCCTTTGGATTTCAGCTTAAGCTCAAAAGCAAATAAATGCAAAGAAATTTATGCCCGAAAGGTTCTTTGTTCTTGGCAGCACAGGGTCTCATATCGCCCTTATATTTATAACTTTACAAGATACTTTTGTTCATAGTTAAACAGAACCCATTCGGCCGTCCCCTCAGTTGTATACTCAAGTATGAACTCTATCACACTTTAACTCAAGACTAAAATGAATTTCACCAAAATGTTAAACTAGGTCTTTTTTCACATTAGTTCTTATTATAACTCCTCACCTTTAGTATATTACAATATTGGCCCAGATTGTGATTTTTCATGCATAATAAATTTATTTTACACAGAAGAAAAATTCTTGCTAATGAAAAAATTGGGTATAAAGCAATCAGGCTTTTAAGTTTGGGCTTAGAAACAGAGATCACTTATTAGAGAAACAGTTATAACTGGGGAAAACATACTTATTATAATAATGATCCTTTGTCAGTAAAATAATTCAACATTCAAACTTCAGTTATAAATTTCAATCTTTAAATGTAATATAATACAGACTGAAAACCCCACAGAATATTTCTCTTACCATTCAGTAAACAAGATCACCAGATCCTCTTGACTGGCATACTGGGCCACGGCTTCTTTCATTAGCCTCACCTTCTGGCCCCCTCCAATACTATTCATCCCATCTCCACCTCTCCACTCTTGCCCTTGACCAAGAACCTATGAATGAAATCAAGATGTCATCCTGAGAAAAATGCCAGTGGTAATAATAGAATAAAAATGTCAACAGAAACTTATACAGTAACCCACTATTTATTTCTAATTAAAGCACAATGCTAGAGAATAGGAAATTAATGCATGAGCAGGTCATAATTCTTCAATGCCACCCACCACTAGCATACCATTCTCAACATTTCAAAAGTTCACTCTAACCAATAGAAGTAGACTCAGAACGTATTTCTCATATTATCTTATTCTTGTTTTTCAGACTTAAATGAAGAAACCTTCTAGCCTTCTAACAAATCCAAAGATTCAAAGATATATCATACCTTTACAGTATAATTGAAATACTTGGCTGAATTTATAAATCGGTGGAATCCATCATTTTCTTTTGTTGCTACAGTTATGACTAATAATTTATCTGTGAAGACATAAAAAGTTTTTATAAAAAATTAAACACTATCACTCCATAACTCTCTATAGTGATTACAAACTTCATAATCTCATGAGAATGCTTTTGATTAGTTAATTTAGATAAGACTAAACAAAGAATAACTGGAAAAACAGGCATTTCGGATGAGTTTTCCAATGATGAAGCCATGTAGTAAGAAATTATTTTAATGGTAAATAAAGTTCATTAGTGGGTCAGGAAAAACAAGTTCTGACTAGAGATTTCAAATACAGGAGAAAAGCTTTCACAAAATGCCTATTTTACTTGTAAGGGTTAAACTTTTGTAGCTATGACCTCATTACCAAGCCGCACTGTTACCTATTGACCATGCCAGCTTTGAAGCATAATTTCAAGTGATCTCCTGGAGACTCCATCTACTCGATAGTGACACTCGTTGACCTAACTGCAAGACTAATTCTAATCCTCTAAAATAAACTTAACAAATTGAAAGCAGATTGTAGAAAAAGTCTTACTTTTCCTCCTACTCATAAAATCTTGTACTAAAGTCTTAAAAGGCATCACATGTGTATCACACATTTATTACTTAGTTTCTTAAACAGTAATTTGGACAAAAATCAGCAATGCTAGCAATGCCATCAGTAAATACGGAGGCTTAGTGCCCTTTTATAGCAGCTTTCCTCTAATTTAGTATAGTACCTCTTAACAGAGGCAGGCAGACTAAGGACCTATTAACAAACATCTATAAAAACTACTGTAGACAGATGGGTAATATTTATCATACAAAAGGACGCTAGAAAATTCATAAAAGATATATCTTCCCTAGCAAGCACAAAAGATACGTGGGTGAAAAGCTTGGTGAAATTCTGAGTAAAGTTTTAGTTAAAGTTGGTTGAACTTGGGATTGACTGGGAGGCCAAAGATTTAAAAAACAGAAGATTCTCTCAAGACACAAGTTGTGTGATAATAGTGTGTTTTGTGTGTGTGAATGAGAATTTGTAAATGTTGAATTCTAGGCTTCGACAATCATTGTCAGTGCAGATCAAGCTGCAAGTATTTTTTCAAATATCTTAAGTTATATTTTCTTTTTCAGAGCTGCTTCTTATTTGGGGCTACTTTTTTTTTTTAATTGAGGCGTAATTCATAAAAGGGTATATTGTTTTGATGAGACTTTTTACAACTGTGGCTGGATGTCTTTCTTTAGTCTTCCAAGAAGGGCCATTTTACTTTTTTAGAGTTACTTTTTAAAGTCATGAGGTCAACAACTTGGACTACTATGCATGTAAGTGCTAATGTAAATTAAAACCCAAGTTGACCTCCAGCAGCAGTTCATTCTATGTTGACAGTGAGAGAACACTTTGCCTGTTAGGATACTGTTACTCGTGGACTGAAATGCTGAAGAAACCCCTCCCCCTATTTTGTTTTTTGCAAAAATCAAGGTATATTCTAGGGTTTCCTGGTTGACCTCAACAGATAAACTGAGATGATAGTCTTAGTTCAGAAATGATCTGAATGTAGATTTACAGTCTACGTGTACAGCTGGCTAAGTGAGATCGCTTTCACAGTTCTGCATGTATCCCATCGGCTCCCCATTAGTCACTGAACTCTTAAAACTGGTATTGTAACATTATCACAATGTTTTGCGCCAATTTTATAAACTTTACAGTGCAATATGTGTTCCTTTTCTGAGGCAAACCAAAGGTATATTTCTCAAGGTTCTGCTGCTAACAGCAGCATTGATGGAGGGTTTTTTATACATTTGTAATAGATAGAAATAAACCAGAAAGAAAGAAGAAAAAAAAAAAAAGAGTGGGGGCATTTGTTTCCACAATTAGGAGCAGTCATAAACAAAAACAGTCAAACTAACATCTCAACATTATAAGCACCAGGCTATCCCACTTAATTCTCCATGGCCTAGAGATATAAGAAAACTGAAAAGGTCCTGCATGCCCCCTAAGTCATACACAATCTTTAGTCATGGGATTTATGGAACATAGGCATCTGTTGGTAAACTAAGGTAATTCTTCATCTCAAGTTCTAAAAATAATTCACTATAGAAAATAAGTATAATGCAGGTAAAATAAACATTCATTATCTAAACCAAAAGAAAAACCATTTCCATCAAGATAAATAATGCATTTTTAGATTTCTGTTAAAAAAGAAGTGTATCTTACAACATTTATGGTTCAATAAATAAATGTTGCAAATAAAATAAAGCCATCTATTAATTAATGATGTGATGATCTGAGGATCTGAGTGGTGGTTTGAATGAGAATGGCCACCATAGGCTCATGCATATTTGAATGTTTAGTCACCAGGACATGGAACAGTTTGGGAAGGATTAAGAGTTGTGGAGGGCCGGGCGGTGGTGGCGCACGCCTTTAATCCCAGCACTCGGGAGGCAGAGGCAGGCAGATCTCTGTGAGTTCGAGGCCAGCCTGGGCTACCAAGTGAGCTCCAGGAAAGGCGGGGCTACACAGAGAAACCCTGTCTCGAAAAAAAAAAAAAAAAAAAAAAAAAAAAAAGAGTTGTGGAGGAAGTGTCATTGGGGTGGGCTCTGAAATTTCAAAAGCCCATGCCTGGCCCAATGTCTGTCTTTGTCTCTCTGTCTCTGTCTGTCAGTTTGTCTGTTGTCTATCTCCCTGCTCCCTCTAGCCCCTGCCCCATCACCCCCTGCTGCCAGAATATCAGGTTGTAAAGCTCTCAGCTACTGCTCCAGCTCCATGCCTTTCTGCTTCCCACCATGATGATTATGGATTATCTAAAACTGTAAGCAAGTCCCTAACTAAATGTTTTCTTTTGTAAGATTTGCCTTGGTCAAATCTTCATAGCAACAGAACAGTAACTAAGATATTGAGTAAAGGTATCTTTAAAGATATTTTTAAATTATTATTTTTAAAGAACAAAATTTTCCAGGGCTGGAGAGATGGGCAAGGCTGACCACCTGAGCTGGATGTCTGGAATCCAAGGAAGGCTGGGTGCAGCAGCAGCAAAAGGGTTTATTAACCCCAGCATGCCCTGCAGGGGAGACACAGGCATAGACAGGAGAATCTGCAGAAGCTCTTGGCCAGCAGGCCGTATGCAGTGGTGATGGCATCCAGCTTTAACACAATCCATTGTGTTAAAGATTTTTTTATTTCTATTTTCTTTGTATGGGTGCTTTATCTGCACATGGGTGCCTGGTGCCTGTGAATGCCTGAAGAAGGTGTTGAGTCCCCTGGAAATGGAGTTACAGACAGTTGTCAGCTGCTGTGTGGATGCTGAAAATAGAACCCAAGTTCTCTGTAAGAGCACCCAGTGCTCTTAACTTCTGAGCCACCTCTCTAGCCCAAGACCCAGACTTGATCAAAGTGGAAGGGTGAAGACCTACACCCCAAGGTTGTTCTCTGACCTCTATACTGGAATGCTGTGCCATGACTATGTCTTCACATGTACACACATATGAACACAAACATAAACAATATACTCACACATGTAAACACAAAAACTAAATAAATATGAATCAACTTCCCTTTTAATATTTTGAACATGGCTTCATTGACTAATGATTTAGTCAGTCACTATTTATAGTTCACATTAAAACAGAGCACCAGACCTTAGGAAGACAAAGAGAATACTTTATAAGGAACTCATTTTCTATAATGATTTTAAACTATCTTTTCTACATAAATCAAAAACTGATACAAGCTCAGAGATTTGACTGGACAGATCGTTATTTACCATTACTAGTATAAATTAATAACATGAAATTTATCATCCTTAATAGGACTCATAATTCAGCAAGACCATTAGGAAGGTAAAAATGTTAGTAAACTCAATAAAAAAAAAACTCAAGTGACACTATCAATCATATGACAAATAAAGAGCCTTATTGCTTCTGTACTGTTCCTAATAATCAATACAAAATGTATACAACTCTCTTAAAGGCAGGTGCGTTCTACTATTACCCACAGATAGCTGCCTTCTCATGTGCATTTCAGCATCACTATTAGGAAAAATGAACCTTATTAATTAAAAGCAGAGAAAGATGAACAAAGTGCTGATGGGAACCAAAAACCTTCAACAACCAATTCAAGAACTCAACTTAAGGGCAGGAGAGATGACTCATCAGTTAAGAGCACATACTGTTTTTACACTCTCCAGCTCTCTTCCAACACTTTCCAGAAACTGCAATTACAAATTCATTAGAACAGTTAAAATTTATGACCAAATTCTCTCCAACTAGATTGTATTCCAAAAAGTCAAGATGTCCTCAGTCATTAACTAGACCACCAGGTTTTTCATAGTATTTAGGAGTTAATTAATAAACATTTTAAATTTATTTTCAATTGACATATAAAAGTATAAAATTGCACATATAGTGGAGTACAAGAAAATTTTTCATACATGTATATATTGCATGTATAAACATTTCTGACTAAGTGGATTTGGGGACAAATGATAATATATATCAATGCATATGTGTACATAAATATATAGCATTATCTGGAATTCACAGATGAGGAGAGTAAGATTTAAACAGGTAAGTGACTTAGCTAATATCACCAAACAAGTTATTTGCAAAACAAGGAGTTAATCTGTAAAACCCATTTGTTTCCAGTATTTCAGGTGGTCTCATTTAGCAAAGGCTCAAAGAGCTGAGGGCAAGCCTGAGACTTCCCTCTTCAAAAAGGCCTGCTTGAAGGGCTGGTCCTCAGTGCTCTTTGGAAAGTTGGATTCCCAATTGTTTTCTACAGCATTTCCAAGGGGACAACACTATTCTCAATGGACCTAAGTTGTCCAGTGTGTTTTTGTTGAACATCTGATTTTCTGCTGGGTTTTGTAATTATGGCAAGGAGCTTAAGTATGTCACAGTCCTCAGTGAAAACAAGGCACTCAGCCACCCATGGGCTACCCAGGTTACAAACATCTCCTTTATGCTGGGTGCTGGGAAACTGGAAACCCATTTGACTCGACTTCACCAGGGAAGCCTAGGAGACCCAACTGTGGATCGCCAGGGATCTCCAAGTGCT